ATTTTAATATATGTGCTTGGGATTGGGATGGGAATCATGGGATGAGAGATCTCATTTTATAAAATCATATTTCAATTCATGTTTCATTTCAACGGATGAATGGCACGTGTATGATTATGACATCATCATGAATGCGTATCGTTCATCCAATTAAATAAGCCAGTAACTGGAACATAATTTTGGAACTGGAGATTTTTTTACCGTGTATTTTAGGAGCATAAGTTATGTAGATATTAATATTTATTAAATAATGCACTCAGATTTGCTATAGACTCATCGGATGATATTGACATATGGTTGATTTTTTTATTTTTGTAGGGTGAGAAGAAAGAGAGAATAAAAAGATTTCTTTGTACTTGCAAGAAATTTTCTTTGCAAAACCATAAGATTGTATTTAAAAAATAAAAATAAAAAATTGCTTGCTTCTTCTTCTTTTAACTCCCTTTTGCCACTTAAATTTTGACACAAGTGTAGCAAAATATAGCCCCAAATATTGACTGATAAAAGCCTCATGACCCCACATATATGTCTGTATTTCATCAAATCTCACAAACCCAAGATTTCACCCATCATTTTTTCAAATTAAAAGAAATCTAAGAACTTTTCAAATTGTCTTGACCTTAATCATTTACCCAAAAATACAATAAAAAAATAAAAAAATGAAGCTTTGAAGTTCTGAAAGATAACCAATGAACAGCCCTTCTAACAAATGCTTACCTTCTCGTATACAGGACTCGTACGCACTATGCCGAGTTTTCAAGAAAAACGGGATGTCCTCCGAATTCGAAACGAGCAATTTCTCGCTGCTCGATTACATGCAAGGAGCTCACAACGAGCATCACGAAACAATGTCGCCCGGTTTCCCCTTGGCATCATCTTCCATTAATAACCTATGTAATGAAGAAGAAGAAGAAGAACACAAAGATGATAAGGATGAGTCATGGATGCAGTTTATTACGGATGATGTTTGGTGTTCTTCATCCAGCAAAAACTTTGTTGGTGATGAGGTTTCTAAGCAGGTTTTCACAAACTAATGAATGGAATTTACTTAAACTGCATGTAAAAAAAAGATTAATGCTTTTTACAATCTTTCGTGTTATGGCATGCATTAATTCTGATCACACCACTAATTGTACTTAACACAATTTCTTTTTTAGGAAATGCTAAGGTCCCGTTACGGAACCATTCCGTCAGGGTTTGTAACCGTTAGATCATCATGTAACCATCAGAGGTAGTTGATCTAACAGTTACAAACCCCAACGGAATGGTTCCGTAACGTAGCATCTTCCTTTTTTTTTTGTCCCATTATTTTCACCTTTTAGTTTGGCTGGAGTATTTCTGAACTACATTAAACCTTCTTGATTGGATTTGCCCAGTGGAATAAAAGGCCTTTATTCCCTTCAGAGGTAGTTAGTTATATTGTTGTGACATTATAAATATTAGTTGGTTGTTCCTCTTTTAAAGGCAATTTCTGATTCAAATTTGTTTGACCAAACCTAGTCCTCAAATTCTCCAACACATTAATTTTTCGGAAAATTTCGATATTTCTGCATGTATGGTCTGGGTAGGGGTCCTTTTCTGCAATTAACTTTGATTGT